GGGAGTATTTTTAGTTTGAACACATTTTGGGGTCTATTGGTGTAATTATTTTAATCTAAAACCATACTCCAAGATTAAAAAATAGGATGCTCAAGGTTTTTGGGGGAGTGGCAAGGAGCTTTTGAGGCTTTGAGAATAAGGTTCATGCACAACCGGCCTACAGGCTAAACTTTCGCCACCTCAGATGTACATAAAGAATCCCTAGATAAGCAGCAGAAAGTATTAAGTTAACCACTTTTAATCAGTATGGCTAGAAAGATGAAACTGCCTCTTAAATATTTTAGCATGACTATCCTCTAGAAAGTGTTTATGACAAGCACATAATTGTGCACGGAAAAAGACAAATTGGAAGCCATCCAAACTCATCCATATTTAAGTTTGTGTGCTTGATGCAAACATGGCTTAGGGAAAAGCAGCAACAACACTCCACAAGTTCCTGATAAATGGCAGACAAGAACGCTGAGAGAGGCATCTGGGAGGGATGGGAGAGACAAATAGGCAAGTTGATAGCACAGACCCATCTGAGAATGCAAATAGGCCTGGCTGAAACAAACAAACAAACATTAAGATAATTAAGCCTTGGGACTTGTCCACAGCATACAGTTAACTGATGCATCTCACCAATGTTTGACTATTGTGGTGTGTGCCTTCAAGTTGTTTCTGACTTATGGCAGCCCCAAGGTGAACCTATTACAGGATTTTCTTGGCAAGTTTCTGCAGAGAGTGTTTGTCATTTCCCTCTTCTGAAGCTGAGAGAGTGTGACTTGCCCAAGGTCACCCAGTGGGTTTTCATGGCCAAGTGGGTATCTGAACCCTGCTCTCCATATTCATAGTCCAGTGCTCAAACCAGTATACCATGCTGGCTCTCTGTTTGACTATTATCAATGAGCATAAACAAAAAAGATAACACAGCCATCTCACTTCCTTTAAAAAGAAATTCCAAAAGCAATGTTGGATAAAACTTCTATTAGGCCATCTAAAATGTCACAAAGGCATTCTTCAAATTGGCTTGTCCTCATTACGTACCTGACAAAACTCAAGGAGTCAAGAGAGATTGAAGATTAAAAGACAACAGTTAGCTCTGGCTAGTGTGAAAAACAGAAAAGGCATTCAGAATGAGACTTATATATATGGAATTTTTAATTCTGGTATACCATGTTTGACCCATATTTACATGCACATCTTTAAAAAGAGAGAGTTTGTCTATTTCAGCAGTGGCACTTAACTCAATGCTAGCTGCTTCTTCAATGCATTTTTGTAGCCCTAGTTCTGTGCATACTTTACTATAGTCACATGAGTAAAGAAGTTCCTTGGTTTAATATGTTTTTAAGGGGTGGGTTGGTTTTTGGGGTCTTTGTGGCATCATATTGTTTGTAATTTTAAATTGTTGTTAGTTGCCCCGATTGTTCTCAGAGGGGCAGGATATAAATTATTATTATTATTATTATTATTATTATTATTATTATTATTATTATGTGCCACAAACAGGGAGCAGAGAAAGGATATCTACTATAGCTGGCATGGAGCATTTAGCAGAGGATGATTGTGCAAATGGTAAATAGATTTGTTGTTGTTTTTGCTGTTGTTGCTGTGCGCCTTCAAGTTGTTTCCGATTTATAGTGACCCTAAGCCAAACCTATCATGGGGTTTTCTTGGCAAGATGAGTTCAAAGGAGGGTTGCCGTTGCCTTCCCCTGATGCTGAGACAGTGTGATCTAACCAAGGTAACCCAGTGTGTTTTATGGTTGAGCTAGGAATCAGAGCCTGGTCTCCAGAGTTGTAGTCCAATGCTGAAACCACTACATCGTGCTGGCTCTGTGAAATACCAGGATCTCTGGAGGAACATGCTTGAACCTGGAAAGCAATCACACTGAGACTCTTTTTCACTTAGCAAATAATAAAGCTGATTTTTTAATAGTAGGAAATACATTATGAAAGGAAAGAAGATAAAAATGCCTAGTTCTGCTGTCTAACGCAAGTAGATATGCAAGACACTATGCTTGAAGGTGATATGCAAGACACCATGCTT